AGGAACAAAAGGTAAACTGCAGTGTAATGTACTGTTGTTGGGTTTGTTAGTGTCAATTTTGTTCGTGAGTTGAGTTTTATTGTGGGTAATGTTGGAGAGTTTTTCAACTATAGCTGGTGGGAATTTATCGGTGTAAATAAAGGAATACTTTAAGTGGTTAATTTCTTCATTTATGTAGTCCGTTGAGTCTTGTGGCTGTGTTTATGAGGTTTTATGTGTATTGATAGTTATGATAGTCTCAGACAACTGTTGCTAACATAGTTATGATAGTTGTTTTCAAACAAATTTTCCGAACATGATTATAATAGTTAGTTTCAGACAACTGTTGTGAACGTAGGTATGATAGTTATTTTCAGAAATCTCAGAATCCTCAAATGTGAACAACCATCATTGTGTTATTCGGTATTTTTTACGTATTAATAATGTTCTCACAACTTTTATTTGGGTAATTAATTGTAATTAACTGTACAAGCTTGAATGTTGAAACACTACACAACAAACCACTCCTGTACAGGAGCTTGAATGTTGAAACACTACACAACAAACCACTCCTGTACAGAAGCTTGAATGTTGAAAAACCCACAACAAACCATTCCTGTACAGGAGCTTGAATGTTGGAACACTACACAACAAACCGCTTCTGTACAAGAGCTTGAATGTTGAAACACCATACAACGAACCACTCCTGTACAGGAGCTTGAATGTTGGAACACCACACTACAAACTACTCCACTGTAGAGAAGTGGTTTGTTGTGTAGTGTTTCAACATTCAAGCTTCTGTACAGGAGTGGTTTGTTGTGTAGTGTTTCAACATTCAAGCTCCTGTACAGGAGTGGTTTGTTGTGTAGTGTTTCAACATTCAAGCTCCTGTACAGGAATGGTTTGTTGTGGGTTTTCAACTTTCAAGCTTCTGTACAGGAGTGGTTTGTTGTGTAGTGTTTCAACATTCAAGCTCCTGTACAGAAATGGTTTGTTGTGGGTTTTTCAACATTCAAACTCCTGTACAGGAGTGGTTTATTGTATGGTGTTTCAACATTCAAGCTCCTGTACAGGAATGGTTTGTTGTGGGTTTTTCAACATTCAAACTTCTATACAGGAGTGGTTTGTTGTGTTGCGTTTCAACATTCAAGCCCCTGTACAAGTGTAGTTTGTTGTGTGGTGTCTTATCATGAGTGCCTTTGTAAAGGTCTGGTTTGTTGTGTGGTGTCTTATCATGAATGCTTTTGTAAAGGTCTGGTTTAAGGCCTTAATAATATTGAGTTCCACTTTACTTACGAAACAAATTTACAAAAGTACAAAAGTATTTATTCAGTTATAAAATGTTACACACACATATACAAAGAAATTTTCTGTAGTTTGTACAATGGTGAAAGAACACAAAATGGGAACGTTTAAATGCTACATAGGCATTTTTACCACCTATTGTCTTGATTTGTATAGTTCTTTTTTTCCTTCTAAAATACTTATAGAAACACGTGGTTTTGCCTGGAATGCTTAAAATAATTGAAACTCGACGATGAACACAGTAGTAACTCATAGAGAAATGACAGTTTGTGAAATAAAGCTCGAATTCGTCTTAGAGTCTTAAAAAAGGGATTCCAACATATGTCGCGCGCAAAAGAAAAGAAAGAAAAAGGGATGACAAGCTGCATAAATAAAACAAACAACACGATAAAATTTCTAACAAATTTTCCACTTTCTATATCATAGGAGAGTTTTTGATTTTGGTCAGGGTAAATAATGGTAATGATGCTCGTGGTGATGGTGTTGATGACAGTGAACTTTCGATAACTCTAGATTTGGTGCTTTCTCATTGGCTGCCGTGAGAGGGACTTCTGTTGGACTCCCCTTATGCCCACAGTTGTTTCGTGAACTCTTTGATTCGCGTAACATAACCCCGAGTAACGTCGCAAGCACAACTGCCACAACGCACACTGATGTTATTATTGTGATGGCGAATTGAAATCCAGTGGTACTGGTTACTTTAGTTGCCGGAACTCCTTTACTGGGCGAATATGTTATGTTAGTTTTACCTTGTACTTCACCAAGTTCTTGATCATGAGAAGTATCTATAAAAACAAAAGAAAATGAAGATAAGTCTCTTAATAGCATCTTAGTCATTCTGTAAATCGGTTAATGTGCTCCGCATATGCTTTTTTACATCTGCACAAACTAGCAAATCTGGGGGCTATATGGTTCTCTCACCACCTACACTTCATAACAAAACCTATTTTGTGCAAACACTGTAGATTAACTGTGATTAGGCTGTACTTGTTGTGAAAAGCGTGTAACCTAGCTATTGCAGCTAACAGTCGAATGAGACCTTTTTGTTTAGATATTATTTTGTTTCACCTAAGAACACACACACACACTTTATAACTTTAGTACCTAAATAATATTATAATGTGGATGGCTTTTAAGGAAAACAGGGGAATATTAGAAACGAGTTTAAGATACTGGCCGTTCTTCACTTAGGCTTTTTTACTATTTAGAACTTTTTGTTTTCATTTCGGTTTTTGACCAATGATAAAAGATTTAGGGTCATAGTTGTATGTAATAAACATACCAAATCCAGTTTTAAAGGTTATATAAAACACTAATAGATGGGGCAAGCTCTGTTTTTCTCTTTAAATGTATTGGATATTTTTACCTACAAAATAGATTACGCAGGCTTGTGAATTTAAACTGCATAAAAATTGTTTTGATTTTAATAACGGATTTTCCACAATTCAGCTATGCAGATTTCGAAAATAATATTCCTTTTTTTTTCTATCACGTATTTTTTACAAATCGGGAAGAAAAAACTTACTTAGATCAAATTATTATTTCGTTTACCACAATGAACATTTTTTTTATTATTATGTTTGTTAACAAGAATACAAACAAATTGAAGAAAAGGGAAGAACATTGATGTCAGACGAATATGCATCCTCATTCATCCTGATTTTTTTGTGAAATCTTCGTCTTTTAGACTCAAAACTAGGTGTTGTGGTCTTTCTTTTATTTATTGCATTATGATATTTTGTGTAAAATCTGTACGTGATGGAGGAAAGTGGATATCATTTTCGGATTCAGCATACAGGAATTATTGTAAAAATGTACACATTTCAAGACAATAAAACCATCACAGGTCTGTGTTATCTGTGCTCTGTTCAACACGGGGAATTGAGCCTGGGATTTTAGCGTCGTAAGTCCGTAAATTTACTTTTGATCCATTTAGGGACGTTTGCTTATGCCAGTCTGAATCTGAAACACACTTTCATATGTTATGTGTAAATACATAACAAAATTGTTGCTCCAACGGTATTTCTGCGGACTTACAACGCTAGAATCCGGATTTCGATACCCGTGGTGGGCAGAGCACAGATAGCCCATTGTGTAGCGTTGTGCTTAATTACAAAATAAATAAAATCGTTATAACCAAAGATATATCTTTTAGCCTTAAAAAACACGTCATGAAATATTAATTGACTCAGTAAACTCTCTCAACATTGTTTTAGTTGTCTATTTCACAAGCTTTCGGTACAAATACCATCAAAGTTTGTCAAACAATGTGTTTGCTGTACAAAAATCCTACCTTGCCAAAATCTTCCGCAGTAGCTCAATGGTAAATCTACTAAAAACCGAGTTTCGATAACTGTGGTGGGAACAGATAGATAGTCCATTGTATAGCTTTGTGCTTAACAACAAACAAACAATCAAACCACGCCAAAGTGTTGGCATTGAAGCCTAAACCTTCACATACACGTTCACACCAAAAAACTAAGTATTGTAGTAGTTATGGACAGAAATGCGCATATATTTTCATATTATTCTTTGTATTAATTGCTGTTTGTTACGTTACTTACGTGTTTAAATGTGTCTCATCTTGATTATTATTTATTTGTACTACCTTGATTTTAACATCCTATGTTCTGCCCTTTTCTAATCGGTTTCCTGCCAACTGAGAGTTAAAGTCTCTTTGTCAACTAGGAGTTAACCAGCTCTTCAACTAGTATTCAAGAATGACTGTTAAAGATGGCAGGATCTAATGAGATGCTATTTGGATTGTGGCCGATAATATTTGCGAATTAATACAGCCTACGTATTAAGAGCTTTATATGCTTTTACGCTTTTAAAATGTTATATTCTTTCTCAGTTTTAAATACTTAATTTATCGTTATCACATCGTAGTTTCATCTTTACAGTCTAATTAAACATTTATAATCATCTCATTATCTACTACTAAAGATAATACTGAAAATCAAGGCTATAATTACATATATCTTACTACCTACTACTGTACATAACATTGAAATTCAAGCTTGTTTTCTTTAATAATTTCAACTTAAATTTGATTTTGGGGGAAACGTAGATATTTCCCATGTCACGAGGAGATACATGTGAAAAAAGCTTAATATGTGCATCTTTTTATAGTTTCAATTGATCTGTTTAATTACTTATATTTAAATATTGAGTGTAACAAATAAACTACACCGGACTTCTATTTGTTTCGTTTTTATTAGTAGGTTGCAAATATTTAACGTTTCTTCTTGAAGATTCGGCACAGACCTTTTTACAGAGAAATTTATGACCATGTTTATATTTCAAATTTTGACAACGCTGTACCTGAATTTTTGTTTTTATCTTTACAATTATCAAAGAATGAACGAGGATAGGCCTAACAAACGTAGCTTACATAATATTTAATTTGATAAGCTATTATAACATAATTTACCACTGTCAAAACATTTCGTGTTTTATAAAAAGAAAATAAAGTCTGGAATCACTAAAGTCTCCACGTGATTTGTCCTTCACATTCGTTTTGTAAATTCGATACTTTGGGATTCAAAAGGACAAGGCCACGTGTATTATTTTGACATGAGTAAATTAGCATGGTGATAGACCGCCATCTAGGGTAAGTAAAAGGAACTTACTAGCAGGATTAACGACCTGTAAAATAACCTCCGTTGATCTGAAACCTTGGTAATTTGCAGCCAAACAGATGTATTTGCCGGCGTCTGATTTCCTGGTTGATGCTATCTCAAGTTTGTTTGCATAATGACCATCTATTTCTGGAACTCCTGAAGAACCTTGCAGAACTATATAATACTCTTTTTTGTATTTAAATCCGGGAACTTTTAGTAGTTTTCTTCGTGTCTTTTCTTTCGCTGAAATTTGTTTTAACCACTACGACAAAAATAAAATATATCAATATATGTATATATATGTTATGGATTATTATCATTTTCAAAAGTAAAGTCAAGTTACTATACAAAACTTTAACTCTCCAAATTTTTATTTCTTTGAAGAAAAATGGCCAGAAATATTATTTGAAAGTTTAAAAAAAACTAATTTTCTCTAAACTAGCATATTGTTCCGTCAGCGAGGTCACGTGACTAGTGTCACGCCACCTGCTTTCTAGAAATATCCTGTTCCTTCGTGAATGCCCTAGCATTTACTAGATTGGGGGTAGGCTGGTATATATATAGGATGGTCACAACGTGACGGGACAATGTGTGTAGGTAATGAGTAATTGAGCTGCAGTCAGAGAGAGACGTATTGTTGAAGTCGAGCTCGTGAGACGTGAATTATAATTTGTTATAGCGCGACTGTTGAATTTGAGTGTATCATAAAGTTGTATTCGGAAAAAATAAACCAGTTTTATTTAAGAGAGGACTCGTGTCGCTGAAGTTTCGTCGGAACGAATTTACGGAAAATCAACTAACGACTGGAGGTGTAACAATATGAAACGCAAACATCATTAATTTATGGTAGAAAAAATCTTTACAAAAGTAACGTCTTTTTTCACACGTAGGCCTAATGCTATTGACATTTGTTGTGCAATATGTTTTTGATAGCCTAATATTTATCTACATCAGGGATTCTCAAACTGTGGTACGCGTACCACTGGTGGTACGTGGAGTTAATGCCTGTGGTACGCTGCACAGTTAACATAAAAAGTCATAAAATTTGTAATAATCCTTATCTGAGCTTTTGACGTACATATACATCCTACTCTCCTCACTATAAACTCACCCTCTAGTTACATAGACTCTCCAGTATTTTCTTCCCTTAAAACTGACAAAAATGGTATCACACATTCTTCAATCGTGCCAGAAAAAACAATCGCATCCTTTGCATTAATGGGTAAGTGTTAAAAATATGAGTTTTTGTTACTAGATTTTTTATATATTTTTTTCAAATTAGGCCTGGGTTTGTAATTCTAAAAAATTAAACATAAGTGGTACGCGAGCCTGAAACGTTTGAGAACCACTGACCTAGATCATAACGGCGCAGAATTTCTTAAACCTAGGATTAGATTTTCACGAGAGGTGTCGCTGTATATCCTTACACGTAAAGTTCACAACAGACAGGTGAGCAGCGAACGCACCAAATAACACAAAAAATAGTCTTTTATTTCAACCATTTTACTGTGGTGAAGCAATGTTTTACTTTAGCCGATTATCTTATGACATGAAAATTAATTTTAGTTGTTTAAAGGTCAAATAACCATGATGACTTCGACTGCATGCCAGAATTAGTAAATTGATCAAATCACCATGGAAACTTCGGCTGCATGCTCTAATTAGTGTTCTGTCTGAGGTGCTTTTAAATAAGTGGACGAACGTGAGAGAGTCTTGGTCCACCGTGAACAAGGATGAGGTTTGGTCCAACTGTGGATTAGGATGAGAGAGGTTTTGTCCACCGTGGGCGAGGGTGAGAGAGTTTTGGTCCAACTGTGGATTAGGGTGACAGAGGTTTTGCTCACCTTGGACGAGGGTAAGAGGGTTTTGGTCCACCGTGAACTAGGGTCCCGGGAATTTGGATCAATGACGGACGAGGGTAAGAGGGGTTTGGTCCACCGTAAACTAGGGTCCGAGAATTTGGATCAATCACGAACGAGGGCGAGATAGTTTTGATCCACCGTGGATCGGGGGGGGGGAGAATTTTGGTCCATCGTTGACGAAGGAGAGAGAGATTTGATCCATCATGGACGAGGGTGAGAGAATTTTTGTCCACAGTGGATGAGGATGAGAGAATTTTGATCCACCGTGGACGAAGGTGAGAGAGTTTTTGTCCACCGTGGATGAGGATGAGAGAATTTTGATCCACCGTGGGCGAGGGTGAGAGAGTTTTTGTCCACCGTGGATGAGGATGAGAGAATTTTGATCCACCGTGGGCGAGGGTGAGAGAGTTTTGGTCAACCATATATATCAATCTTAGAAGTTAAGACTTTAAATCAATCACATTAATGAGTATAATAGACAATAGGAATCAAAATAACAGTTTAGAAAAATTACTTTTCAAATTGTAAAACTACTAACGTAAAAAAAATAACAGCAAATGGACGAAAATGTGTGTCTAAGTGGGAGGAGGAGGAGGGAATGGTGTAGAGGGTCCGAGTGGGAGTTTCGAGGAAGGCTTGTAGCTCTTTGTGTAAATGGGTTACTGGAGTGTGAAGCTTGGATAACTCTTGCTTTGAATAAAGAACAGTGTAAAGTGTACGTTATTGGTCTTGTACACTGGAAGTTGTGTAGAGGACGTTGTTGAATAAATGAATATCGTAAAATGCTTGTTACTGCGTTACTGTTGTTGTACACTAGAAGTTGTGTAGAGGGTGTTATTGAATAAATGAGTAGCGTAAAGTGCTTGTTACTGTGTTACTGTTGTTGTACGCTGAGAATTGTGTAGAGGGCGTCTTCATCTTATTTGAATCCACGAGTAGTGTAAAGTGGTTGTTTTTCACTCTGAGAGTTGTGTAGAGGGCGTGTAACTTCTGTGATTGAATGAATTATGTGGAAGTGTTGGAGAGCATCCAATTTAAAGGTGTGTAAGGTTTCTCGAGAGTGAGGAGCTCCTTGAAAAAGCGTGGACTCTTACGTTAAGTATCAGTGCTGTGTAAGTATCTGGGTATCATGTAAAACAAGAGGATTCGGGAGAGTTCAAATCTTCCTAAATCTGTAAAAGGCGTGCAATTTACGCGATGAGACAGCTTCAGAAAAGGTGTAATGTTAACAGCCGACTCAAATCAAGTATCTGATTTATTTCATGCAGCTATAGCGGACAGATTCCATAATTAAAATATGAATTATTTCACTACGGATTTTAAAAACGAGTTATGTGACAGTATCACAAGATCAATATTATGGCTGTCATAATGCACTGTCCAGTAATGTGGATAAAAACGCCACAATGCACTGTATAGCAAAGAATATAAAAACGACTCAATGCACTGTACAGCAACGAGGACAAAAAAGCCACAATGCACTGTTCAGTAACGAGGATAAAAACACCACAATGCACTGTTCAGTAACGTGGGTAAAAAAAGCCCCAATGCACTGTAGAGCAACGAGGATAAAAAGGCCACAATGTGGTACAGTGGTACAGCAACGAAGATAAAGCATCTGTAGTGTGGTGTGAGTTTCGCCATGGCCTTAAAGCTTACTGGTTCTGAAGATTTTCGTCTATAAAACCGTAATGAGGTGTATGTATCTTACTTGTGTTGTACGCATATCTTATAATAATTTGATACACTTTTGTCATTCTATGTCTGTGACGTATTTATTATAATATCAATGTTTGTTTAGATTAAGTTTATATTCAAAAATATACATAGCTTATAGTGTTAAATATGTATTGCGAAACTCCCGCTTATTATCCAAAGTTATAGAACATTCTCGAGAGTAAGAATCAACAATATATGTATGTACGTAAATGCTTAACTTTGTATTGTAACATAATCTGAATTTTCTAGAAAGCCTCCGCAACCTATAAATACAACCAACGCGACACGCCAAAAGAATAGTATATATTATTAGTTCGCTATAGTCGGTGTGCTATAAACTTCGGAAGCTATAACTGTGATTT